AAGGAGATGTCAATACATTTAGAGGGCTCGATGGCACATGCATTTTATCAGCATAAATCTGACATTTATGACATTTTCTGGCATACTTAAAACAGCAAGACTCCATGGTCATCTAGTAATACCCTACTTTCAATAATTTTCTAGACATTGCATGCCCACCAGCATAAGTACCAAAAGAACCTTCATGGACCTCTCCCATTAGCAAACTTGCTTCATTTTCATCCACACAACATAGCAACACCATATTGAAGTTTCTCTTGTACAACACATCATCCTTGTTCAAGTAGAAGTTACCTGACAGCCTCCTCAGAGTCTTCTTGTCTTTACTTGATTCCCCAGGCGGATACTCTTGGGTCTTAAGGAAATTTCTGATGTCAAAATACCAAGGCTTCCCATATGACGCTTTTTCACTTACAAATATAAAGGTCGGCCTGTCAAGGCACATGATAGTGATTGTTGGAACTTCATTCCAGAAATTCACTTTATACATCAATGATAATGTTGCCAATGCGTCCGTCATCTGATTTTTAGCCCTCGGTACATGATGAAATTCAACCCTGTCGAAGAAAGGCAGCAATTTTCTTGCATAGTTCTTATAAGGCACCAAGTTGGCTTGACGAGTTTCCCACTCTCCTTTGATTTGATTGACGACTAAGGCTGAATCACCATACACATCTAGATTCTTGATTCTCAAATCAATATCTTCTTATAGACACATGATGCATGCTTCATACTCAGATTCATTATTGGTGCAAGCGAACATTAACCGGGTAGTAAACGGTACGTGAAAACCGTGAGGAGTTGTAATAATTGCCCCGATTCTATTGCCGTATGAGTTAACAACATCGCCAAAAACAAACTTCCACTAAGACCCAATCTCGGGACCCTCGTCAGGTAAAGGTTCATCACAGTCCTTCATCTTCAAAAACATTATATCTTCATCAGGAAACTCAAACCTCATCGGTTGATAATCTTCAATTGGATATTCAACAAGATATTCTGATAAATACTCCCTTTAATGGCCCTTTGGGAAACATACTGAATGTCGTATTCTGTCAAAACCATATGCTATCTAGCAATTCTTCTGGAAAGCGCTTTCTTCTCAAATACGTATTTGATCGGATCCATCTTCGAAATCAACATGGTTGTATGGTTTAAGATGTAGTGCCTTAAGCGTTTAGCTGCCCAAGCAAGTGCGTAATATGTCTTTTCTAGCATCGAGTATCTTGACTCGCAATCAGTGAATTTTTTACTCAATTAGTAAATAGTGTGTTCTTTCCTACCTATCTCGTCGTGTTAACCAAGCATACAACCCATCGAATTCTCAAGAACCGTCAAATACATAATCAAAGGTCTTCCCGCAACTGGAGGCATCAATATTGGAGGCTCCTGCAAATACTCCTTTATCTTCTCGAAAGCCTTCTGACAGTTTTCATTCCAAAGAACCGCTTAATCCTTTCTTAACAATTTGAAAATAGGATCAAAATTAGTTGTGAGGTGAGATATGAATCTCACAATGTAGTTCAGTCTCCCAAGAAAACAACAAACCTCTTTCTCTATTCTTGGTTCAGGCATTTCTTGAATCGCTTTTATCTTCACAGGATCCACCTCAATTCCTCTTTCGCTGACAATGAAGCCTAGCAACTTCCCAGATCTCACCCCAAAGGTGCACTTGTTAGGATTCAACCTCAGCTTGAACTTCCTTAACCTTTCAAACAACTTTAAAAGATTGACCAGATGTCCTTCCGCCATCTATGACTTCACAATCATGACATCAACATATACTTCGATCTCATGATGAATCATATCATGAAAGAGAGTCACCATTACCCGCTTGTAGTGGTAAAAAATCGTGAGTGTAAGCTATTGATTAGCTTAACTCAAAAGAACAAGAGTCGCCACCGCACTTTTATTTCATCCAAATAAAGGAAAGGAAAAAGAGCGAAAAAAACCAAAGAGTTCTAAAACAAGAACAAGAAACAGAGATCGGGGTAAGGGGGTTGGTTACGCAATGGGAAGGTGTTAGCACCCAAAACGTCTATAGTAATCTATAGGAGCCCTTTGAAATATTTACGTTTTTTGGTTTGAAAATGGTTTGTTTTAAAAGAGATTGGGGAGATGAGAAGAGAATTATTTTTTAGATTTTTGTGTTTGGAGAGACTTATCGCCTCATGCCTACGTACCCACAAAGTGCAATATAGGATCAAAACCTCGTAGTTCATGGTACAAATGACAAAAATTTGTTGGTTTTGATTGATTTTAGATGTAAAGACAAGTCGTCATTTTAAGGAGAAAACTGCGACTAGTCGCCCACAAGTATTAAGACAACATTTGCGTCACATAAAGATGGAGGATTTGCTTGGATTATCAACAAGACTATCACTCAACATCAACGTGGAAAATGTCAAAGTCTTAATAATATGGGGAATAGGAGAATTACATCTCAACTATAGAAATGAATCATGTCTAACTTTATGAAAAGTTTTAAAGTGAAAAAAGTGCATAAAGGCACAAAAAGAGTTGATGAGTTTTTGTATTTTTTATGTCTTTTGAAATTGGTCAAAGCATGATTAACATTGATTAACTTTTATTAAGAAGAACAAAATTCGAAAACCACTTGACTAAAGTTAAGGTTTTATTGCAAAAGCGGTTTTGAAGTTTGAAACCAAGAAGGTTTTGAAAGAGGGAGAAAGTTTTGAAAATTTAAGAAGGGGAGGAGATGAAGTGACTATCCTAGAAACCAAAATAAGAGCTAGAGGTAAGAAAGATCTAACCGACTTGTAGCACACTCCATAGCAAGCAAAAAGAATTCCATCCGATTTAAAGCATAAGCTAATGAGCGAGTCAAATAAAGGCTAAGATCCACAATACTCCAAGCATAGGAATGAGAGTCCTAATTCTAAGTCCAAAGGTCCATGAAGTCCGAGGTCTAAGAATAGTCCAAGAGCATAACCACAAAGTTAATAGTACCAAGTTTTTTTTTAGAGATTTTTTTATCCTTTATTAGTGTTTTGAACAAGGTATGGTCCAAGTGGACAAAAGAGAAATGACATAAACATAAACAAAGATATGATATGAAATGATAATATGGAAGCATAAAAGTAAAGAAATAAGGAATAAGAAGAGAATATAAACAAAATTAAACAAGGATATTGTTAGTGAATTAGTAATTAGTGGTTAGAACATATGAACAATGATGATTAATTCTTGCACTTTAGACCAAGGTTAATGAAAACTCATTAGAGGATTGATAGAATCAAAGCCTCCTAACGATGAGTTTCATAGGTAGTGGACTTAAGACAAGCAACTAATTATACTTGGACTTTCAAACATAAGTTTGAGCCACGAATGATCATTTTCCGATTACGGGACACTTTAGCACTATGTTAAGCAATCGTAATCGGGTTTATGTAGAAACCACGACTATCTGAGGCCGGTCAATAAAATGTTAGTGTTAACACATGTAAGAGAAGTGATATGTAAATCACTCTCCTAAAACATGCCACACAAAAAGAAAAGAGGTAGTGATCTCATCATAATCAAGATTTTTCATCAATTAATCCAAGGTAATCTATCACTATTCCAAAGTACGGAGAATTATCTCAATGATTATCCGGCCATAGATTTGAAATAATGAAGATTAAACAACTTTGATAATCAACAATCTATGATCCATAGATTTCATCGATCAAAAGAAAAAGAAGAAGAAGAACTAAACTGAAAAGAAATCACAATTTGAATCTTAAATCGATTAAATCATCATCAATATCAATCACCTATTTTAGTGGATAAAATCAACACTCAAAGTCCATTGATATTGATGAGATCTTATCAAAATTCAAGATCCAAAACAAAACAACAATTAATCCAAATTAATATATATTTTTTTAAATCAATTTTTAAGAGTTTTCTTATTTTTAAAATATAAAAATTAGTAATAAGAAAATGTTGAAAGGCCCATACGGCCCAAATTCTTTAAGAAAAAATAAAAAAATAAAAAAAATAATAAACAAGTGAAAATGAAAAACAAGGAATAGAAATCAGAAACATTGTCTTCCTTAAGCTTTCACACGCGACATTCGTTTAACACCATAGCTAGCAAAATCAAATCAACGCGACGGGATATGAAGATTACACAGAACGGATCAAGAACAAGAGCTCTTCACAACAGTGTAATCGATTTCAGAAAAACTTCAACAACAACTTCGAATCGAAAACACCACAGATCGATCCAATATACCTTCAAATCAAGATTCGTAAGCTTCTAATCTTCTTCTTCTACTCTTTTGAATGCGAAATGTTGTTGTGGTTGTTGAATGAAGTTAAAATATGGTAAGATTTTGTATGGAACGGTTGTGAACGAAAGAAGAATTGAATTGGGTGAAGAACGGTGAATTCGGAATTGATGGAGGTAATTTGGTTGAAGCTTGAAGATGAGTATTGATGAGTTTTCAGTAGAGGTTTTCTGGCTTTTCAAGCTTGAGAAAATGAGTGAGGTATGTGTTGTATTTATAGATGAGAGTGAGTGAGAAATGATTTGCCGTTTTGAAATTTTCACTGCGTTTTGGTTGCAAGTTATGCGTGACCCATGTGCTGAAACTTTCATGTCATTTTTGCAATTTTCCTTCAGCTTCTGTATGACGTGTTACTCTTTCTTTTTTGATTTCAGCTCAGATTTAAATTATATGACGTGGATTGGCTTTCATGGCTCGCTATTTCGCTTGAAAATATGGCTTGGATACGGTTTCTCTTCAATGGCTTTAGATATTGTAACTGCTGCTCCAATTTCAATCCTTGATTGATCCTTTTTTATCTTTAAAAGCTTAGAAATTCCACTTATATCGATATACTTATTATAACCTTGTCTATCTCCTTTTGTCCAGAAAGAGTTCAAACCAAGATCCTCCATATCAACATCAGCTGCAAAACTTTTACAGACATCAGCTATCGGTCGGTAACCTGTGCATCGACAAAGGTTACTTGCAATAGACTTTTCAGCATCAGAAACATTGATTTTTTGAAAAACCAGCTGGCGGCTCTGGAGAATCATTCTTATCAGTCTTTACAAGAGCGCCGAAGAGTGAAACGCACATTCCAGGAGTACAGAAGCCACATTGAGAAGCATGGAATCCAGCAAATCTTTGATGAATAGGATGGAATCCTTGTTTGCTATTTCCAATTCCTTCACTTGTTGTTATTGAACATCCATGTATACTACAAAGTAGAGTGAGACAAGAGCTCGCGCTGAAATCGTCGACTCTATCGAGTAAAGGATCATATTTGGAGATTAAAACTACACAAGCACCACAACCACCTTCACCACAACCAAGTTTGACACTCTTGAATCGAGTTTGAGTGTGCAAGAACTCAAGCAAAGTGGTTGACGGTTCAACGCTGGATAGCTCAAACTTTTCGCCATTGATAACAAATATCAAACTCGTTTGAGTGACATTCTTCTTCACATCCATGCTTCAATAACTGATTTTTAACTTCCATCAAAAGATCAACAGCTTCTGGTTCAGAATTATGCTTCATGTGAAAAGCAACTATCTGTTGTACAAGTTCCCTGCATGAATGAACAAGCATCACTTCTTTGCAAAGAAATTCTTCGTGGGGAAGTAAAGGAACCTTGTTACGAAGTGCATATCACGGATTCTCCACAGTTGAAGCCATGACTGAAGCCTGCAACACATTAGAAAGCATTTGCTGTTTGTTGGTGCATCAACAGTCGTTACTCCCCCTTTGGGTTGGCCAGATAACAGAGTGACTCCGCCAATAGCACTGTAAGCTACTCGTGTGGCTTGGAAAACAACTTCTCTAAACTCCCCTGCTTTAAGCTCTATTGCCTGTGCCAAAGGTGAGAAAGCATATTCCTTCAAAACAGGACGCAAATAGAACATTCCAGGAAAAAAACTATCAAATAGGAACGCCCCTCCAGTCCCAGATACTGAGTTGTTTCTGTAACCATCATCACCACCCAAAGATAACAGAACTGAAGGAATGAGCTCAACTTGTTTAAAATGATAGCCAGACTTTGAAGCCTGAACAGTATAACCAACATCAGCATACAGCGGACCTGCCACAAAGGAGCCATCATATACCGTATTATCTGTCGCAATTAGTTGAGCATCCGACTGAGCTTCTTCACCAAACAACGCAATAGCAAAGCTCTTGTGATTCTCACTTTCAATTATCTTCAACAGTCTACCTTGGACACTTTTGTTTGTCACAAACCTATATATGTTAACAACATCTTGTTGCCCAATTCTATGAGCTCTACTCATTGCCTGCAGGTCATTTTGAGGATTCCAGTCTGAATCAAATATAATGACAATGTCAGTCATGGCAAGGTTGATACCCAGACCTCCAGCTCGTGTTGAAAGAAGGAAGCAGAAATCATCACTACCAGGTGCATTGAAATGTTCCATTGCCTGTTGTCGGTAAAATGTCAACTTGATTCCAAAGGAAATGGACATGTATAAGCATCCCAATACTGGCCAAGAACAGAGCAACAAACAAGTTGCGAATTGGCTCAACTTGTTCAAGCGTATGTTGACCAAGATCCGTTGTTGATATCATTACTCCCGCGGCAAATGAACCTAGTTCAAGACTTAAACCCAGCTTATCACTACACCAAGCAACCATTAGACAAAATGCTACTGATGTTAATTGATAAAGTTCATTGGTCTGAGATGACAAGCTTATCATAAGCTTAAGGAACCAGGGTACGCAAGTATGAGATAATATTGACAAAACAACCAAAAATGCAATTAAGGTCAACAACGATTTACTCATGGATATTATTCCCTGAAGAACACCTGAGGTTCCATCCAAGACAGGAAGCAATGCAAAGAGCAAACCAACAGCACAATCCTGCAGAATCAGAGTTCCAATTATAACCTGACCATGAAGGGCATTCACGCTGTTCCTTTCCATTAAGAATTTCAAGACCACTGTTGTTGAAGACATGGATAAAAATGCACCAACAAATATTCCTTCAGATGGTTTGCCACCACATAACGAAGCTATTATTCCACACAAGCACATAAATAAGACAATTTGCAGCAGACCTCCGAGAATAGCCACCGCCCGAACAATTCGAAGCTTTATTGTGGAAAACTCTAAGCCCAATGAAAAGAGCAAAAAGATGACACCAAATTGAGCAACTATCTCAACTTGGACCATTTCACTGACAAAGCTCAAACCTCCTGGTCCAATGATGGATCCTGCTAACAGATATCCAGTCATTACCGGTTGTCCAGCACAAGCAAAGGCTATGCCACCACAGGTTGCAGAGACAATGACAACCACAAGATCTGATATCAATCTCAAGTCCAATTGTAGAACAGGATACTTTGACTTGGGATTGGATATGATAAAGACATTGTCCTTTCGATCAATTAAAGTTGGTGTTTCCTCAACACGGTTCTCACTGTCCAAATTGAAAACATCATGGAACTGAAATAACTTTTCTTCTTAATCCAGTTGTTTCAGTTTTGGAACTTTCAGATCCAGCCAAATCAATCAAATTAAGCTGAGAGAATATCACTCCATCATACTCATCGCCGTGGGCACTGCTTTCAACCATCAGTGTGAATATTGTGTGACTCCTGCTGCTAAAGAGATTAAAATTATTTGATCCAACATGACGATGCTCTTCTCCAGCAGCAATAAAAGAAAGTGCATGTCCAGGAGATAGAACAACCTCTTCCTTTATACCCTCAACATACGTTCCCTGTGAATCTTCTCTGACCCGTAAATTTTGACCAGTTGGGTCAAGCAAATCATTTATCACCTCGTTGTATATTTCTAGATATGACACTCGAAGTAGGAATTCTCTTCCCTTCTCCAAGAGGAATGTTTTGCACTTCCATGTATTTTGGAACTTCAATGATGCTTTATAATCACTTGGAAATGGCACACTTAAATGAACACTTACTTGCATCTCAATAAAAACATCTTGATTGAATATTCATCAAAATTGACTTGTACATACAAATCTCTGAATCTTCAGTTAAAACTGAATCATTTAGAATTTATCTGAATTAATCTCTGGGAAAATAAATCCATAGATGAACACAACCTGGACTGATGAACCTTGACCATAATAGTCTGGACCAAACTTTTCATAGAACACTGCTTGATAAACCACTGGATTTCAATACAAGACAATTTGACCTTGAACAATCACAATTCCTGAGAAAATAACCCACTGCCACAACCAATTTGCACTTGAAGCAATCTCTTGATAGTTTGACCAAGATGAGGTCAAACTTCCATTTGATTTAGACTTGAATGAATGTCCTTGCCATCAATCTCCTTGCAAAACCCTAAACACACAGAGAAGAAGAAGAAACAAGCAAAATTGCAAAAATATTTTTGGTATTTTGGTTAGAGGTTAGTAAACAGAAACAAACATAAAGCAAGTAAGAAATAACAGGGGTGTTGGAAGAACCAAAAAGTACGATCTTGTTTGTGAATGTAATGATGCAAATGAAAAGTGGGATCTTAGGGGTAAAAATTAGGGTATTACACCGCTGATAAGTCACCCCTGCATTTTTCAATCCAAAAGGCATAACTTTGTAGCAAAAAGTCCCCCACAGTGTGATAAAAGTAGTTTTCTCCATGTCCTCTAGGGCCATTTTGATTTGGTTATACCCATAGAAGCCATCCGATGAAGGAAAACACAAAGTATTGAGCAGTGTTATCAACCAAAACATTAATGTGAGGGAGCGGGAAATCATCTTTCAGGCTCGCTCTATTCAGATCTCAATAATCGACACACATCCTGACCTTCCCATCTTTTTTAGGTACAGGGACAATATTAGCGACCCACGTAGGGTAGTTGGTAACGGCAAGAAAACTAGCGTCCAACTATTTTTAGACTTCCTCTTTGATCTTGACTGACATATCAGGTCTGGTCCTCCTCAATTTCTGCTTCACAAGCGGACACTCTTCTCGAAGAGGTAGACGGTGAATCACTATATCGGTATCCAACCTTGGTATATTCTGATAAGACCAAGCGAAGGCTTCTTTATACTCACGAAGCATCGCTACCAATCTTCCCTTGACATTTCTTCCAATACAACCCCAACTCTGACTTCCTTCTTGTCCTCTTCAGTACCCAAGTTGGCGACTTCAATATCCTCCTAATGAGGCAGAATAACCATTTCCTCTTGTTTCAGAAGTCTGGCCAGTTCTTCAGGTAAGTCACAATCTTCATCAGTCTCTTCTTCAGCTTGGTAAATAGGGTTATCAAAGTCATATCGAGCCATAGCCAAATCTGGATCGATGGTATATGAGATGTGAAACCTGCATGATTGATGTTTTATGCTTATTATGATATGCAAACAGACACAAACACATTGCCATTTTTCTGTTTTAATTAAAACGTAAAGAGAAAAACAGGGATCAAAATATTTGAATGCAAAAAGGAAGTCTTTTCATTCATGATAAAAGTTTGAAAATAAACAGAGGGGCTCTACAAGGAAAAAGTCACTACGTCTTGGGCAAAACGTAGAACTAGACATAATCTAAAACAAACGAAAATTACTCTTCTGATGTAACTTGGATGATTTCCTTCACAATCTAGTTTCAAAGCTTCTGCCTAGGGACACACGGACGAATCCAAGCATCCATATCACAATCGTTGTCCCCTTCGTCATCCTCACACGCATTTATTATGTCAAATATAACCCTACCGCTGGTAAACCGAACAGGTCCTTTGTACTTTGGAGGATCCTTTGAAAGAGAAGAGGGACTATATCCCAAACCAAACTTGTCATGTTTAGCAGGAACATCAAGCACCTAGCCCCATTTCTAAGAAGACCCAGATTCCACTATAGCACGGGTTTCCTTGAATGACGACATTGAGACTTCTGGACCATTTAGCCTCTACAGGAGGCTTCTCCCGAACCTGCACAGTTTCAAATGCTTGGCAAAGCGTCTCGTGGATTTCATCGTCCAATTTCACATACATAAAGGATGATAGCTGACTGACCATAATGTCTTCCTCTCCACAAATAGTAACCACTTTCCCCTCCATTATATATTTCAATTTCTGATGCAATGTCGAAGTAACTGCCCCAGCAGAGTGTATCCAAGGCCGGCCGAGCAAACAGCTGTAAGCAGGCTGGATGTCCATGACATAAAACGTTACATCGAAAATTTCTGACCCCACCTGTATGGGCATAGTGATCTCACCAAACACCGACCTCTTAGAACCATCAAAAGCTCTCACAACTAAGTCGCTTGGCATGCAAATCAGCCGTTGAGTATCCAGCTTCATCAAGGTCTTCTTTGGCAGTACATTAAGGGATGAACCTGTGTCTACCAAGACATGAGACAACAGAGCCCCTCTGAACTCCATAGATATATGTAGAGCATGATTATGGTTCCTCTTGGTAGGGGTCAAATCCAAATCTGTAAAACCCATCCCATTTCCAGCATTCACATAAGCCACGACTCC